TTTTCTGTACTGAGCCTTTGTTAATATCGCTTTTTTTTTTGTCTGCATAGGAAACAGAAAAATCCGTTTTGCTGGATTTGCTTTTGGTCTGACTCCCTAAATGCTACAAGGTGTTACAAAATCCTGAACATCTTTCATTTCAGGTTAATTGAAGCCACTGGTACAATAGAACACAATTTATTCTCTTTCAAATGGAAGAGGTGGAAAATGGGCATTACTTTATGTCCGCCCTCTGTTTGCCTCAGGAATATTCTGGCCAGGGGTATGAGTTGGTGTACGTTCAAATTTTTCAATTATTCTTTTACTTCTTTTTAAAATGCTCGCTTCTCTGGTGCGCAGATCAAACATTAATGAAGTTTGAAAGGTCTTACTTTGAGCAACATAAAACTTAATAAAACCATAATTTTGCATTTTACAGCTTTGGTGAGGAAAAGGTGTTAATTGAGAGTACCATGGCAAGAAAACTGCTTTCTGGCTCTGCTTACAAACTGGCTTGTTCTTGTAAATAATCAGTCCCACTTAATTACCAGACCATATTGTATTTACTAGCAACAGTCAAGCATTCCCAGACCTCATAGTTTTAAGTCTGTGAAACACTTGCACATTATGATCTCACCTCATGCTACAGAATCTCCATTCAAGTTTATACATGACGTGGAAAGTCTCCGAGATGCACTCGGAGGTGTAAAATTAGTGTAATTCCACTGGAATGAAAGAGACGTGCCAATTTGTATCAAGTGAAGCTATGGGCCACAGTGTCTCAAAGACATTTGCTTTTGTCTGGCAAACAAGCAAACAAAGTTCTTCATTTTAATGGAAAATAATGGTTAAGTTCGTCCTTGGTAATGTACCGAAGCAGATCAAAGATGGTACTGCCTTGCAAGGCTCTATTTCACTAACAGACAATTAATATGATAGTATCAGGGAAATGAATAGCTATTCCGTGCCTAGGTGTTTCCCCTTACAGACTGTAAAACTACTGGGTTTATCATTTTCTGTCTTTAGGCAAAAAAGGTAACTCTTATTTGCATGTTTGTCAGTTTGTACTTGAGAGTACAAAATTTACTTAAAAACAAGCTCAGCAAGCTAAATGGAATGCCGATGGTCTTATTATCCCAAGAGAGCAAAGCACTTAAGCCCGTGATTAAAATGAAGTTAATTGAATTTAAGCATGCACTTACGGTAAAGCATAAAACTAAATACTTCTCTGAATAGGAAAGAGATTATTCTCACACTTAAATGTAAGCACTAATAATAGTTTTGCTAACATTGAGGTTTATAGCCTTCTCTCTGCAGTTCCAACTATCCCACCAATAAAACCTGGCTCCAAGATCAGAGCTTTTCTAAGAAATTTGTATCGAAGAATGAAGATCAAGGTGTTGCTTATACAATAAATTGGCAGAGCACATTTGCAAAAAGAACACATTAAATTCTGGGTGTGATGAGTTATGTATAATAAAGGCAGGAAAGAGCTTATTTCACATTGAATTGTGCGGCCTTCTCAGAAACACAGCCCTGGTTATAGAGAGTGAAAACACCTAGCTGCTCTATGAAATCCCCAAACAGCAGTGTTCAGGGTGTAGTCAGAACTTCACTGCAAATGCAGCTGAGTGTTTTTGCACTCGAGAACATCAGCCCCAGGTTTTTGTTTGGGATTTGAAACCTCAGGTCAAATCAACAATTCCAGCTTCTGCAATTGCCTCTGCTACATCTGACTGATTCGAGACAGATGGCATTTTCTTGATGAATTTAATTTTCTTTGTATTTATGATAGGAACAAAAACACCTTCCTCACACAAAGCATAATAATCAAGTATTTCATTAATTATGTTGCTGTCCTTTTGAGCTGGACCCAAGAAACTGATACAGTTCTGTCCCACAGGAGAATATGAATTTGTTGAAATGCCTTAGCAAGTACATTTGTTTTTATTACAGGTTTAGAGAAGGATGCGAATAGACAAACGGGAAAGTTCAGTTGCAATTCCTAGACTCATCCCTGTCAAAACAGAAAGCTTGAAAATGTTTTTTTTCCTTAAGTTGTGCTCATTTGTTCCATGGCTTTAAGGGATATTTTTTTCCCATCATAATCAAACTTTCTGAATGCGAAGGGATCCCCTTCCTTGCCACCATTTTTCCCTTCACAGAAAATGTGAACAAAGAAGCCAGGTTAGCCAGATCCCCCAGCTTTGAATGGCAGTTTCTTGTTATTGCACAGCTTTCATATCACTAGAAGAGAGAAGGACCAGAGGCACGTTTCAAAACACAGTGTTCTTTGTTGTACATAATGATATAAAATTGTGGATTAAAAGATACTACCTGGTTAGCTCAGTTAATGTCTCTATCTGCACAGTTGAGCTGTACCATGCTGAAGCTTCACTAAGTGGAAGCTTCTGTTTAAATTACCCTTAATGTGGAGTTCTTAATAATAGTTTCTTAATGTAGATTAGAGCAATTAATGCATTTTTTGCTTTACACAGTGTAAACTCATTACTGGCTTTTTGGAAGTTTTTCTCCCGAGCATACTGAGAAAGCCAGAATGCTAAACACAAAATATTTCACACTTGTTGTTTGGAAGAGTATTAATCCTATCAATAGAAGCATTTTAATGCATAATTTATATGCACGTAACGCTGTATTTACAACAGTGGAGAGAGAACTGGGGTATCACACAAGCAGAAAAAATACAGAGCAGAATGTGTGATATTTTAGACAAGGAGATATGACTCCAGTAAGACCTGAGCTACAGCAGCTCAGATGTGAGCTAACTGCAGCTCTCATTAGTGCAGGTGAGGAACGTGAGCACAGCCCAGCTGGGTCAGAACAAAGCTCAGCCCGGCTCAGCATCCTGTCCAGCAGCCAGCAGCAGAGAATGCCCAGAGGAAGGCTGTGAGTACCAGGCAAAAAGGAATTTCACAGAACTTACAACCTAGGGACTTCCTGTTTCAGAGGTTGTAGTCCTTACATCTAGTGGCCTTTAACGGGTTTTTCTTTTGGGAATTTGAACCCCTTATTATGCTTTATGTGAAGAACGACCTTTTGCCTCTTATAAGCCCACAGCTAAGCTTGCTTTCACCTCCACCAGAACTGGAAGGCAGACAAAGCATTCCTTCACCTTCCCTGCTCCTCTCAAGCTTTTTAAACACGTCTGGAACATCCCTTCTTAGTAGTTTCTTTTCCAGATGGAAAGACTATTTAGACATTCCCTGTATAGGACCCATCTGTTGCTTCAGATGGCTCTTTTTGCCTACATCATTATCTCTGCCAGCTTCAGTGTTTCTTTTTGAGATGGAGAACCAGCAATCTGTCTGCAATCTGAGGTGCAGGTGCACCAGGAACTCACAATGTCGTAATGATCATCTTTGCTTTGTTTGCCTTTCCTTTTCTAGTAATTCCTGCCATTCACTGCACTTCTTGGTGATCAAAAGAGCTCTCAACACCTGCATCAAACTATTACAAAACCTTGTTCCTGACTAATAGTAGGTTACAGCACATTGTCTCAGATGCAACTTCAGTCCAACATGTGTAATATTATATTTATGTTTACACCAAATGTCACCTGTCTTTTGTTGTCAGGCAGAATGCTGAAGTCCTGCAGTTCTTCAGTCTATATTTTTGTGTTCTATGACAACTTCATTGTCCACAGACAACTTATTTCCTTCCAGCCTTACTAGCTTTCCAAGAAATAGGCTGAGCAGCACCAACGTGTGCCTGCTTGCCTGCGAAATTCCACGTACAACCAGACGTTCGCTTCCCTTCCTTTGAGTTATTGGGCATACCTGGAAGACCATTGCCTCATTTCCCCTCATCAGTAAAGATATACCTGCCTCACACGCTGACTGAATCCATCAGAGAAATCCAAAGTCTAGCTTTCCCATTCCAAGCCATGCTCACCCTTCCCCACACCTTCCTCACGGAGGTCTGAGCAATCCTGCCTGCTCTTGTCTCACATGCTGCCAAATAACCCGAGCTCTGGCATGAGAAGCCAACCCACAGCAGAGTTAAGAACCCATTGGACAGGACTGAACTGATAATTTAGACACAACTCTGGTCATAGTCACGAAGACCAATGGGTAATGATTAGACATAATGACTAATAATTAGGCTTAATCATAAGTCTTAATAGTTTAACAATAAATGCTTTGATTCTGCAAGCACCTAATCACACAAATTTTATTTTCTGCTCTAAGGGTGTGCAGCTGTCAGACTTCCTATTAGCTGGACTTTGAAACCTCTACGAGCTCTGCTGCCAACACAACTGATCAGCTTTTATTGCCTTTAGCTCTGTAAATTCGCAGTGAGAGCCATCTATTGCACCCCCATTTTTCAATACTGCTCCAATTTTTGCCACTTTTATATATTCACGCACAGTGGTAAAATACAAGTTTAGAAGGCCTGCTATGAAGATCATTCAAACTTTGCAATTGCATTTTTTACATGGAAGGTGACCTTACCCTCACCAACCTGGCTCACTTTGAGACATTTGTGTGCATGCCTGCATACAAGCAGGACTCGATGATCCTTATGGGTCCCTTCCAACTTCAGATATTCTATGATTCTATAATTCTACTGCATACATTTAATGAGTCCAGATGGTGCATCTGTTACGCTTTCATGCAGAGTGACCTAATGCAATAGTCAACGCCCTGAGACGCATGGTGCTCTCATTCTGCACACCAATAGAGCTGCACTGGATCAGCTACTCAGTGCTCCAGGCACAATTTACACCGTGGCAAAGCGGTTTTGGTACGGATTGCACAAAAGGCACAGTACAGAACATGGCTGCACGGCTGCACACCAACAGCATTATTCCAGGCTGAAGGCCGGGAGCAAAAAATAGACTACAAGCGTGGAATGTTGCTAAAGGGAGAATTTGAACTGCCTGCCCTGCTCGCACACAGCCCAAGGCCGTTCCGCGGCGGGTCCGCGCTCTCCCGCGCCCGTTTATCGCCATTCCGGCCCCGTTCCGCGGCGCTGCCGAGCCCCGGGCCCAGCGGGCAGCTCCGCCCCTCGCCCCGCAGTCGCCGGGATGAGAGAAAACAGGGAGAGAAACAGCGACCGCCTGGGAAGCAGCTAGTGCGAAAGTAAAGGGGCAGAGCATGGAGCGGCAGTAATGTTCTGAAGGTAAAGCCACGTTCGTTTGCTCGTTTGTTTTGTTTTGGTTTTCCCCGAGCTGTGGGGTAGTTTTGCAGCAGGAATGGCGTCACTTTATAAAAGTTCGCAGATTTTACTGATTTAGGGGGGTTTTTGGGGGGGATTGTTTTCTTTTTTTTCTTTTTTTTCTTTTCTTTTTTTCTTTTTCTTTTTTTTTTTTTTTTTTAAGTGGGGCTGTCCTATTTGCGATGCAGCCGGGCGAGGTGGCCGAGATCTAAATATAAGCCTGCGAAGACATGTCCCGAGATAGCGACGCCGATAGCAGAGCTATTGTTAACTTTTGGGATTCCAATTAAATCCTGACACGTTAAATATTTATTTAATGTGCGCGGAGACGGGGAATTCTCGTTAACTACGCTAATGGAGTCAGAACAGGGAGAAAGGTTTTTCTCCTACCCCCCTCCCAAACCTACATGGGGACTTCCCAGTCTAACTCGGGGTCTGCGTGCTGAAGCACGGGCTGCTGTATGAACATTAAAGGACAAAACGTTTCAGCTTTGTTTTAGGAGTTATGTTTCAGTTGGTTAAGCAAACTGGAGCATTTATTTTTCCGTTTCTGCAGCTGAATCCAAACATAACATTCCAAAGGATAAAATCTGTTACAAAATAAAACCTACTTAGTGACAGCTGAAGTTATATTCACGGTCTAAAAATGATCGGAAAGCGCCTCGAGAATCCTAACTGTCATTCCCAAGATGCGGTGAATTGTAATTTGGGTTGTGAACTATTTTAGGGACTGTGCCTTAAATGGGCCCTATCTGTGCAGCTGGAGCAAAAAGTCAATGAACTTTTCCTCAACAGTGTGAAACATGGAGGTGTTTCCATTGTAACTGTAAGGCCAACTTGTTCCAGATTTGCAGAAATATAATGTTGAAAATGTATTCTTCAAATGTTGATCTCCTTCCCTGTGTTTACTTTCCAAATGAATGTCAGAGGGCAGTGAAGAGTGGAAGAAGTCCCATCAGAGATAAAGTAGTGATTGAAAAATAACGTTTGCCTGTTGTTGTGAGAAGCTGCTTGGTGATCACCTCATCTTATTGGCTTCTCCCTCGAGTTTTAATTTCTGTTCTTAAAAAAAAAAAAAAAAAAAGTGGAAATATCTTTATAGTGAACGGAAGCAAATAACTTGGGACATGCTGTTCAACACTGCACCATGCTATGACCAGTAGCGCTTTTATTTTATGACAGATATTATTCCAGTTGTATATGTGGGTGTTGATACTGTAGAGGAAAGTATGAAACCCAACTTTTTGGTCACGAGGGTGGGGAAAAAAGTGTCCCACAGTGTGCCACAAAATTTAAACGTGAGTTCTAAAGGCCTGGCATGGCATAATTTGAGGTTTTTTTGTTTTGGTTTTTGTAGCAACGTACCCAGAAGGAGAAAGTCAGGTCCTCTCAGCTGCTCCATGGGAGAGCTTTAGTGCTCTGCATTGCCATCACTAATTGGTGCTGTGCAATCCTCGGGTGATAAGGTGCTGTTAGGAAGTTGTCTTATGAGTAATTAAGTTTAGGTCTAGGTATTATAAAACGCAGTGTCCTCTTGACTGGTCTAAGCCAAAAGTATCTGCATAATGACTGGAGGGATTTAGCCATAGGTATTGTTCTGGCATATACAGTAGGAGGTATTATCTTTACTATCATAGATATAATTATTGTAACAGATCCCTTCTATTTCAGGTTGCTCCTTTTTCCCTTCCTTTCATTTTATTGAAAGGACATGCTGTACCTTTCTTCAGTTTAAAATGCTGATCTTACCCATAAGGAAGAGTTGAGGGTATTTTTGTTTTTTTTTAATCTCTGAGAGTGTTTCTGTTTATAGTATTCAAGCTTCTCCATAGAGTGGGTGTAACCAGGAGAAGAATTTGGTCCATAATGCGAACTAAATTTTCAGTGCTTCCACTATTTAGAGCTCCGCTGTGTTAAAAATAGCTTCCCTGTGGTTTTGGCCATGGAGCCACAAATACAAGTTTTCAGCGCTGAGTTATTGTGGATGTTGGTCCCAACTCTCACTACAAGAAATGGAATTCCAGCTCATGACTGTCTCAACAGATGGCTGTGTTGAATGTGAGCTTGCATGTTTGATCTCCTCGCTGTCCCAAAGACAGGATTTGTCCCACTCAAATTCCAATCACTTTCAGAAGGGAGTGAGCTCAGAAGGCAGAGCTTGGCCTTTGGAGTAAAAAAGCCCTGGGAATAACCGAGGCCATGCTCAGTTTTTCATGAGGTGGTAACTTGGAGGACTGTGCACAAGTGTGGCTGACAGTGGAGGGATGTTAAGCAAGTGGTGGGGAGGTGAGTAAATCTTCAAGAAAAAATAATAGAAACAGTTTTATTTGTAGCTAATATTGAGCACGGTTGACATAAAAGAAAGCTCAGTGATATACGATGTTACATCTTCCCTGTTGTCTCCAGGTTGTTGCAGGCAGCTTGCAAGAGGTAAAGGCTGTCTTTTCTCTGAGTTGAGCAGTGAGGGTCAGACTCCAAAAGGTGTTCTTTTATTGTGAGGTTATGTTCTGGAAATCGTTGAACCCCACAGGTTTAGAAGAATGGGAGTGAGAGTACTGTGTGTCTACTTACTGTCGAAGTAATGATGAGTGGAAGCTAGGAGATAGTCTAGAAAAGCAGCAACGCTGGAAGAATATTCAAAGGAATTGTACCATTTTACATTCTTTTATTTATCATTTCTTCTGTGGGAGCAATGTATAACTTTGTGTTAATCAGCTGGGACATTTTTTCCATTCCTCTGGGAAGGTTTCCGCCTCCCATTCTGAGAAGCAGACTGAACTTAGCAGTATTTTGCCCTGACCAAATGCTGTGCATAGGTTTCAGTGGTAAAGGGTTCCTGCTTTGATAGGGACTTTGCAACAGGTCTCAGGGTTCTCAGGCAAAGCCTTCTATTCTTGATTACTTCTTAGGCATCTTAGTCTTCCTACGGTGTTCTGTTGCCCTTCTTAGGACTTTGACTTTTTTTGTCAGGTCTTTTGACATTTATAAGTTGAATGGTGTGTTCAGTTTTGAACCTTTAGCTGACTCTCAGATCTGTCATCTCAAATACCATCTCTAAGATATTCACATTTTTATTCTGTAGAGCGTGACAAGACACTGTTGATTTGAATTGACAAAACCTCTACACAATGTCTTTGTTTCAAACGTCTTAGAGATGTAGCAGTACTCAGTTACCTGTTTGATCTCATTTATCCTTTCAGTTTAGCTAAGAAAAGCTGGCAGCTTTAAACTTGCTTGGGAGTGTATCTTTGGCTTACCTGCCCTCCCTGATCTACAATTCCATGTTAATGTCTTATATCTATAGCTTCAGGAAACAAGAGTAATCCTTCCCTCTCCTTCTTTGTATTGCTTTGTGAGTTGAGTAACGTAAGATTTCCAGAAGTGTGGCTGTAACAATAACAGGGAACTGAATGGCCACGAGCCAGCTAGCGTAACTTTGCAGCAGCCCACATCACCAAAGGCTTAAACACTTCTCATAAATAAACACTCCTAATATATTTCATCCAGACACCAAGCTTTTTTTTTTTTTTTTTCAATTAGATTTAACTTTCTTAAATGTGTGATGTGATGTACACATTTGTATTGCTTTCTTGTTGTGAGGCAGCCACTTACCATCATTGTGCTGGCACTCAGCGTGCTGTACGTTGTGAGGTTATTTAAGAGGACCAAATGGCCAGTGTGAACATTACCTTCCTTTCCCCTGGCTCTGCTTAAACATAACGCTCTTTTTCTGCCTCAGAAACGCATGTAAAGGTATGTATAGTATGTTAGCCCCTCCTTAGCCTTTCCCACCCTGAAAATTTTCAAACAGGGATGGCACGTTCCTCTCTTCACTGCCAATAAAAGAAATAAATAAATAAAAAATTCCTTTCACGGCATTTTCCCCTCCCCCCCATTTCTTCCCAGCTGACAGCTGTGAGTGTAACTTTCAGGAGCTATCCTATCCAATTCCCCTCATTCTGTTTTTGAGTTGGATTTGGTTTAAATACGCAAGTCATCTTTCACACTGCAGGGTTTTTTTAAACATAGCAATGAAGTGGCTTTGCCAGTGCAGGTGGAGATGCAGCAACTTTGTTTGTTTGTTTTGAATGTATGTGTTATAAAAAAAATAATTCCCCCCTCACGTCAATTTAGAAAGTTGTCTGAGAATCATTTTGAATAATGCAGTCATCTCAGAAGTGACAGGAAGGCCAAAGTTTCATAATAATAAAGCTTTTTTTTCAAGATTATTTCCTTATAATTCAAACAATCTATTTGATTTTCAAACTCTTTCAAACCAAACAAAAAATCCTATTAACAAATGGAAGGATCATATTCAAAATGTAGCGAGAAAATCAAAATAATGTAATTTAAGAAACTTATTGAACTTCGTGGTTGCTTTTCAGCCGTGGAAGTCCTGATACAGAGTGGGGCAATTTTTCAGTTGATTAGTTTGTACTTTGATCAGACCGTTACAGCTAGCTCCAACATAAACATGTACAGCAGCTCAGGTTTTATGAGAAGACAGTTTTCTGTCCTCACTGCCATTAGGCTGTGTGCAAAGGAATGTGAGACAGGTAGTTGTACTTCAGTTGATTTTACAAAGCCAGAGGAAATGCGTAAAGATGTGTGCAGTTGTCTCTGCGGAATCTGAACACACAATTATAATTAAATTGTTGAGGTAATAAGAAGGTTAGCTGGTTATTTTTTCCTGAGATGATCGGAGTTGCATGTCTGTATTTTGAAGACACCAGGTTTGCCAGGGCTAAAAGAGGACTGATGGATTCATCAGTTATGAAATTCACGAATTTCCTGAATTCATAAAATCCCTTGATTTCTGGAAACTACGTTCAGGATGCCTTGAGTCTACTTGCTGCAAGCCTTTTATTGAGCTTTTTGTTACGGGAGTACACCTGCTGAAGTACAGCAGTAGAGATTTAAGTGACAAAAACCATGTATATTGTAGACAGGCATAAGTGGTGTTA